AACCCTAACCACCCAACCCTAACCACCCAACCCTAACCAAACCACCCAACCCTAACCTCTCTGCCTGTTTCTCTCTGCCTTTCTCTTCTCTGCACGTCTCTCTCTCGCTCTCTGCCTCTCTCTCCAAACAACCATGCTTGTTTACCCAGTGGCAGTGCTAATGTGAAATGCTCTGCCACGTATGTAGAGAATGATGAATATAAGTTGATAATCTGTTGGAATGTCCATCATATTCAGAGAGTCGGCAAGTAGGATTTCAATACATAATGTAATCATTTATTGATTATACTACAGCATACGTAACAAACAACAAACAATACGTCTGATATTGTAAGTAACATTGACATAGCTGGTGATGAGCAGGAAAGCATATATGTTAGATATGTCCACAAAGGAAAAGCAACTGAGATGTGAATGTGTTTTAATGTTTCAATATTTTTTTGGTTCAGTAACATATCATTCGGTCTGGTAAAAATCTATTTTTTACTGGACCGAATGTCCAGTAAAGGATTTTGTCTTTTGGCGAGGACTGAACTAGGTCTCTAGATTGTGGCAGAGGTAATTAATGTCAATTGTATTTGATTAACTGTGTGCAAGACCCATAGTCATATTGTGCTTCGAATTTAGTGTACAATTTTTCAAGAAGTAGAATGCTTGCTAAAAGTGCAAATTTGCTAATTTTATAAAGATTTTTTAATCATTCATTCCTCTTTCAGGTGTTTATTGGTCATTCGTCTGAAGTAGTCTGTTTACGGTGCATCACTCCAAGTGCTGCACAAGAGTCAAAAAAGGATGGCTACTATGTCCTCTCGTCTGCTGCTGGTGATAGGTTAATCAATGCCTGGTACGCTTGTGTACAGACCTGTAGGTTAATAATGTTAAACCACGTTTGTTTCAATCATGGTGGAGACAGCATTTAGGTTTGAGACATCATGTATAATCTATCCTCCATATTGTAAGATTCACTTGCATAATTTCTGATGATATGTCATTCATATAGCAGGGTAAATAGCATTAATATAATTGGCTAAGAATTAACTTGACAAGATGTTGCAATCTATCTAGCGCTATATCATTATTCAATGATCACTCCATCACTGCCATCTTTCTAGGTATGTAAAATCTGCTGTGGAAACAGACAAGAATGCAGTGGCCTCATTCTCTGTTACGGATGAGCCTGAACAACTACATCATTGTATATCACAGAGTAATCGTCATCCAGGACTGTTGGCAGTGGCCACCCGGCAGGGCAAACTGCATGTGTTTGAATACCAGTTAAATGGGTAAGTAAAGTCCATCCATCGTACATGCATGCACAGAATGCTCGTATTTGCACGTGCAAAAGTTTTGTGTTTGCCGTATTTGACTCAATTTTGAAAGGGTTTGTTGAATATACATATATGTGTGATGGTATATCCTACTGTTTTATATACAAGTATATATATGGAGTAGTTAGTCACTCATTGTTAGTTGCATATGATGAAGATAACCTTGATGTTTAGGAAGTGCCGTCTGATCGACATTGACGATGCAAGGTTCACTGATAATGCACCCTACCGCAGATATGGCATCATTCTTTAACAAAATTGTTTTTTGCTGTTACATTTGATGTGAAAATCGTTTAAATTTGCGACATTATTTTAGAAGATGCAAGAAACCCTTACAACCCAAGTTGACATTGCACATCGCCACATCTGGTGATAGTGGAGAGACGCCAAAGCCTATTTCAGTGATTGGTGTTCACCTACTGAATGACAGGCAGCAGAATATTCTTATTGTTTACGGTGACTTCACGAGGCCAAAATTCGAGCGATTGGTAAGTCAGAGAGTGAGTGAATGGTCGAGGAGTGGGTGCATGGCATCGTTGTTGGATTTAGTTTAAAGCTGCAATATCACGATATTAGAAACAGACTCCCTACGACTTTACAATGGCGATTGTCGATTCTAATGTGAATGAACACAGTTACACTACACGTATGATGAAGACAACCTTGATGTTTAGGAAGTGCCGTCTGATCGACACTGACGATGCAAGGTTCACTGATGCTGTAGCTTGTATTTCATGAGAGCCAAATATAAATTGTCTTCATTAGCTCACCTTGACATCGTCAAGATGGGCTATTGCCATGGGGCGTTGTTCGTCGTACGTTCGTCCGTCAACATTTGGCTACGGTCAACGATAACTTGAGAACCGTTTGACCCACATGTTTCAAATTGCATACAGTTGTTACTCCTATGGGAGAGGTGTGAACGTCCTATTTTGGGGCACGCCACTTGACCTACTTTTGAGCCACGCCCACTTTTTGGCAAAAATGGAAATGGCCATCTAGATTCATTCAATTTTGTTAAATTTACCTACCTACCTACCTATTCATACCTACGTGTAATATTTTGTTTTAGATTCTTCGTTACAGTAATTTGACTCGAATATATTACTTTTATTTGCGCAATAATCAAAAACCAAAATGGCGATCATTTAGGCGTAGCGCCATCTCTCGCCCAGATTTCAGACATTCAGATCTGAAACATTTATTTTCGCATCAAAACTAACCCTGAAACAAAACAGTAACATTTCTATTAGTAAAAAACAGGGAATTCAATAAGGACATTTGATCACATTTCGGTCCGTCATAAACGAAACGCCAAATTTTAAACATCATCTCCCTCTTCTATCACACCCAAGGTGAGCTATAGTGTCATTGACGCTTTCATTTTTTATTCATGATTAATGTTTTCTCGTCAAGTGACCATTTAAATATTTGCCAGCTGCTACGACTAATCTAGTTCTTGTTGGTTTGCAGCCTTACAGTACAACAGAGAATGAGGTATGTCTGATTAGAAGTGATCCCAAGACCGTGAACCGAAAAGTTGACAAAAGTATCACCAAGGTAGGAACTTTTTTTTATTCAAACTGGGGCAACTCAGTAGAAATATGAAGTATAACTATTATTAGCATATTCAGTTGCTCAGAAATAATAGTTTATGATATCAAATTATCAATATATAATTGTTTTATGATGTCAACACAATAACTCTTCCTCTATGATAGGTGAAAATGCCATGTACATCTGGGGAAGTTACACACCTTGTGCCCAGTCACACGCTTCCCAAGCACAGCAATGTTGTTAAGAAGAGAAAGCTGTCCACTTCCGAGGCTGTAAGTTTCCATGCAATTACTAGACAAGTCTTTCTTTCTGGTAAATGTCAAACACAAGTCATAATATGTGGTTGTTCCTTTGCACTTTGAAATCATTGTAGCATTGTTTTTCCATGTGTCCTAAGGCGACTTCTAAGATGACTAGAATCATCCTAGAGGTACTGCATCATGCATAATTCATTCAGTTTTTTGGAAATGTGTGCAGTGTATCTAGAAAAATCATTATATTAGAATGACTTAGGTTATTGTCCAGATGTCTCTAGGATGCTCCAAAATCCGTGAATCCATAGAGATGTTTCACTAATAAACAACATATTGCATATGATGAAGACAACCTTGATGTTTAGGAAGTGCCGTCTGATCGATACTGACGAGGCAAGGTTCACTGATGTATATTCATAGTGTTATGGTTGCCATTAAGGTTTCTTAAGTTATAGTATAGTTCTCTTGTAATAAAGGCCTGGGGAGAACCCTATATATATAGAGAGAGAGAGATGCAGACCTGCCAACCCTTACGATTTTTTCGTATTCTTTACTAATTCCAAGATGTTTTTACGAATGTACGATCAAACTGAAAAACTCGATTTTTTACGACTTGAAAATTAATGTGTTTTTTACATTGTGAGTCGAGAAATATCTGGCGATTGTGGGCGCAGCCATATTGGATCACGCGTTCACGTTGTTCTCGCGTGATCTAGAGTTAGTTCCCCATCATTCATTGCGCGCATAACATACAAACAAAATGGCCGCCTGCTGCAAGAAAAGAAAAACCTTACTATTTTCATGAATCACAGGTTGGCAGGTCTGGAGATGTATATAGAGAGTGAGAGTGAGAGAGAGATAGAGATAAATAGATATAGATGGATTGATAGATGGCTTGTCGATGTATTTGCAGGATGAGTCGCTAGCAGAAAGACTGAAGAGTGCCAGTGTAAATGGCCCGACGTCTGAGGTGCCTCGCACAGACACAATGGCGGTTCTCCTGACGCAGGGTCTTCAGAGTCAGGATATGAGCATGATTGATGTGCGTTTCAAGTGATTTATGCTATACAGAGATCAATTAAAGGGACACATGGCCCCACAAGTTCCTCGTATATTTTCAGTTAAAATAGGTCTATATTACGCTACATTAAAAATGTCACTGTAAATTATTCACTAGAAATTTTTTTTTTTATGTTTTAAAACTGATGGTTATACCGTTGCTTATAACGGCGGTGGCGCCACTACATGCACATCCAATAATAAAGTCGCGCAACGCAACATTTCGGCTGCAGGGTAATGACCGAGGGTGTTTCTTATTTATTAATTTAAAAGGAGAAGGATTGCAATATCTTATAAACAACTGTTGGTTTCAGTTATAATATGGATGAGTTTGTCCTAATCGAATCGATAAAATTGTTCAATTAAATAGCAGTTACGTATAAATATAATTACACTTTTGTGACAAGCCCTCAGTCTGTAACGTACAAAATAAATTGCCGGCTGCGCAACTTTGTCAGGTTGCAGCATAATTCGTGGTGTCATGTCGGCGGTTAAAAACTAATATTTTGAAACTCGCTGTTGTATTATGACAAATGTGAATGCATGATTATAGAAATTTGTAGATATATACTATTATTTATGCACTTACTATCAAAAATATATTCAGGAAAATTTAGGGTGTTGTATTCTTTTAATGCAACACAGAAATTGCCTTTTTTCCAAGTTATTCTCTGTAAATCTTGTTTCTGATACGTGTCGGGGGTTTTCATTCGAAGCAGAATATCAAGGAAAGAGGCCGTCTAATTGAGCACTGTGCATTGGCTACTTTGACACCCAATTATAGGCCATGTTCAAGTTTTATTTTTCTTCCATGTACTTTTTTCTTGTGATTGAAAATTCTGTACAATAATATTTCTAGTGTTATAGTTGTCATAGTCATATAAACGTATACCAAATTAGCAATTACTCAGTAAACAAACATGCTTCAAAATGTACCTAATCGGCATTCTTTTGCTTGATTTTTTTTCAGGATTAAAGCAAACAAATCTTAAATTGTATCCTAGTACATCAATTGGCTGTAGTTCTAACCCTGTAGGTCAGTTTCGGTTGCTTAATGTCTTTATTGGAGTGAGGTTTTAAGTAATGACTGGATGTTTGTATTTATAGAAAGTTCTAACAGAAGCTACGGCGAATGTCATAGACAACACGGTGAGAAGGTTGCCAGTGCAGGCAGTCGTGCCATTGGTACAAGTACTAGCCTTGCGCATGAGTGCTGCGCCTAATATGTACGTATGAAATCTCTCATGTAGTAAGCTAAATGGCAATGTGGCAATTATTTTCATGTATGTAATATTTGATGACACTTTTATGTCGGTGTCACTTTCATAGTTCAACTAGTGCAACAAATCTTGAATATCACCTGAAATATAATTCGTAGAGAGCATTCGGGAGTGAAACCTTATGATGAAGACAACCTTGATGTTTAGGAAGTGCCGTCTGATCGACATTGACGATGCAATGTTCACTGATGTAGATTCCTGATGCTTCTGGTAGAAACCTTGCATGCACTAATGTCCAGCCATATTGATATTATGATAATTTGTATCTTGCAGAGCACAGACGTATATTCAGTGGGTGAAAAGCATACTAAGCACACACACGTCCTTCTTAATGACGGTAAATATGATGGGATTGTGTCTTCTTAGTAAAAATGAGCCAATTTCGACAAGCGCGATCCATTGTGGACGTAGTAATTTTCCAATTTCTGTATTTAAATTTCAAGTAAGAGTAAAAACGGTGTTTTCCAAAGTAGACAGCTACCTGTCCATGTTATTACAGAGTGATAGGAGCCTGATAGCCATAAGCCGTGACCTGGCTACAAAACGGGGTTAGGGAGCATGTGCAGTCGTAGTGCATAACTGGCTTATAATCGACATGTACTCAATACTTACAATTAGTATTTTTCAGGAAGCATGGTTACACTGCATAAGGAATTTGAATATATATTGCCTTTATATACTATTGTTTTGCATATATCTCATGAACATAATATTGCACAAAATATCTGTCAGTGAACTGAACTAAAGCTAACACTAAATTTCTTTATAATGCCCCTATGTGGTAGTGATTCATATATACGATGTTGGACTCTTACAGTTTCCTGAACTTATTGAGAAGCTGAGTGTGATATATCAGATAATGGATGCACGACTGATGATGTTCACTCGTATGTCCCGTTTGAAGGGCAAGCTTGACCTCATCTTCTCACAGGTATGCTGCTGGTAGATGTGTAAAAATGTGTACCTGACAAATGTTAAAGAGGCTGGTGTGAAAGGGTGATAGTTAGGTAGTGGTAGCTAGCATCAATAGCGTATTAAGGATACTCTCAACCTTTTGCACGGATATTGCTCTATTGAATATTAAACGTTTATTGACGAATGAATCGAATCAATCACACGTTTTATTTATAGAGGAGATATATCTATGCTCAATCCAAAAAAATTCATAAAATTTCCAGCACCTAATTATGTTACCACACAAATTTTGAATTTTTATGTAAAAATGGTATTTTGGATATTAGGGATATAGGATATTGGATATTATTATTTTCTCAATTACCGCGAAGCAAAATTTTCGCCACAGGTTAAGCAGAATATGTACCAAAATAGCGCATCAGGATTTTTCTTCAAGTTTCATATTACTGAGAAAATGAAAAAAACTGCTTAAAAATCAAGTTGTGTGTTAGAATTGAAAATTTTTGTGAATAAAGAGGCATAACTAATAAAATACCGCACTTAATAACAATCCCTGACGCGCTTTTTTACAGCAATATGTTACCATTAAAACGAGTGTAAAATTAAATTAATCATAGTTGTAATCACAGAGAAATATCCATTTATACATCGGCTACTATGTCAGAAATCTAAACGGAGAAATCAGCATTTTTCTATTTTCCACAATGATCGACCGCCTGTGTGCAAAATGGGTGAACTTATGTGAAACATCTACTGTTAGTACTTATCCATGACTAACTGACACCACTAAATTGGTAATATGTTCCATGCACCTTGAGAAATTGTGAGAAATTACGAGGTTACCACCGCACTTTCATGCAAAACGCGCGTACGATGTGTACTGCATGCCGTTACTAAGCTATGTGTCAACAAACGTGCCTAAATGCAAGGTGTGTAACAAGGGAAACGGTGCTATTTTGGGTCGCGCGGCAATTTCAACTATCTCTGGCAGAGGACAGCTGTAGGAGGGTTGATGCTGAATGATACTGGCGTAGTGAATATCATGAAAATTCTGGTTGTATCATGTCTCTGACGCAATCAGTGGCGTCAGCTGCTGCTCACTACACCTGTACGCGGGCAATCAAAACGCTCTAAAAGTTCACATGTACCGTTATATGGAGAAATGAGCATATACAGAGGTGGCACATAGTGTTAGCCATCGAATAAAGTTGGAAAAAGAAAATCAATAAAATTTTGCCTAAAACCTTGAGAGTATCCTTAAGAAGGAGAGCGTACAACGGTGAAATGCTGAAACCATGTTCCAGTATTAGTTGAATTAAGAAATTTTGCCCGTTTTATTTTGACGATTCTTTGTGGTAGTATTGATCAGCTGTCCTACCTTACTAATATAAAACAAACCGCTTGTCCCTACGATGCTCCTACGCTGAGATAATGAGCGGTGAAAATCTGGTATTTTTGCCGAAAACCGACTCGAGATCCCGGTTGGCTGCGACCCTCTCTCGTTCTGTGGCCATCGTAGGAACAAGCGGTTTGTTTTATATTAGCAAGGTAGGACAGCTAATCAATAATACCGCAAAGAATCGTCAAAATAAAACTTAAAAGTCAAAGTTTCTTAATTCGACTAATACTGCAACATGGTTTCAGCATTTCACCGTTGTACGCTCTCCTTCTTAATACGCTCTTGCTAGCATGTATGAGACCCAATAAACCTTTTCAGATTATTTAGGAAACTAATTATATATTCATTAACAAAATAAAATAAATGCTGACTGCACTTTTATTTTCATGTGTAACAACATTTATTTCTTATTTCAATTTTTTATTGTGTTCTAGGTAAATCCTGTGGAAGGGAAACGTGTCACTGACCAGGCTGCGATGCTAGTGTACCAAGAGGGTAGGAATCTAATTTTAAATAACAATTAACATACCATCGAATATATAGCTAACAGTAACTTGCCTTTAAAAATTACTTGATTTCCTTGTCAATCGTTTACAGGGGATTGGTTTGTTTGAAAAACATTGACTGCAGTAATGACATTTTCAGAGTCATCTGATGATGACGTTGACAGTGACCTTGGAGACTTGATGCCTACGAGCCATTCTGAATCTGAGGTGGGTTTTTATTGTTTGCATTTTTACTAGTTTTAGTGTTAGTGGTTATTTTCTTACTCAATTTTACTGTTATATTGAATTAACTATTGAAAACACCATAAATTGTACATTCCTCTGGTGTGAAAAGGGTAGCTGTCCAGTGACTCGTTGCCTCCCATGAGGGTTGAATTTTTATTTGTTCTCTCACAAGACATGACAGTCTATCTAGTAAAGGAGGTACCTGTCTATATTATTAAAGACAGGAATTTTACTTTGGAAATTGTTTAGGATAATTGGGAGAATTTGTCCGAAGAAATGGATGTGGAAGAAGTGGAGGAAAACCAAGACAGTGAAGAAGATGAAGTTGTGACAACAAAGAAGAAACGAAAAAAATAACCAGGATCTTATGAGTAATAGTACTAGGAAGTAATTGAATATTGAATGAATCAATGAGGTAGCAAAATTGATATGGGCATTTAGCAACATAAAAGAAAGTGGGAAAATATACAAGTACTGACCGAGTTGAGATAGATAAATGGCTGCATATTATGCAACTAATGCTGGGTTATTTGGCCACAGCTTCTACTGTTTGCTAGCTTGTTTTGTGGGTTTGTTTGATGAAGCAGCAATTGGGTTGTAAGGTGATTGTAAATTATACATATGCATGCTTATGTGACTTGCTCATTATCAGCCAGCCAAATGCTTCGTACTATTTCTGGTTTGTAAATAATGACATTGTGAACCATTTTTTTAAACTGTGAAACAACTGTTCAAAAATTTCTCGTCTTTGGCATGATTTTCTTCGTTCATATTTTCTGGTTGGCCTATTTGCAAGAAATATTAACTTGGTAGCAATAATTTATCAATCATCATTGGCCATTGGGACTTATCAACTAACAATTACTAATTTTTGACTGTATAGTTCTGTTTTATATCCAGCCAAATTAAAGGTTGGTGTAGAAGAACATTGGCCATAAATATTTGTAGGAAATAAATTCTTAAACTTAAAACATCACATATGCAAGGAGAGGAAATAGAACGACGTGGACGCATGGTATATGCTGCGAAACAGTGGCGTTACTATTTAATTCACAGTGTCACAGAGTTGTTACAAATTGATTTGTACGATGCATGGCTGTACTAGCATTACATTGCATTATCAGTGTGTTAACATTTTGAATGTTAGCAAGTTATGTATTACAAAGAATGGCAGATAGTGGTGTACAATAAATTTTATATTTCTCAATTCCTGTCTTCATTCTGTATAATATAAAAGTAATATGTAACATCCATGTCGAAAAAGAACGGACAAATTGGCCTTATTTATTAAATTTATTCATTAATTAACAATTACTGACTATTCATTAAACTTAATATGACTACATTACACAACTTGACGATGATTTCTGTATTAAATAACATTCAAATGAGTATGCAGTAATTTGCAGGGAAAGATTTTACACCTGACGTTTGGTATTGCAAGCATGACGGTCACATGACTATCTTATCCAATTCGTGCATGCAGGCATCACATACAGTTTCGAGCATCAGTGCTCTCTAGTTATGAAGCAGCAGACTTCTTCTTCCGTCGGACTAAGGTGGGTGGAACAACACTTTCTGAAGAGTTGTCCTGCAGGTGTGAATGATCATCCCATTCTACTTTGCTCTGTTCATGCAACAGTGCAAACTTCTCTGACACCTGCTGCTGCACGCGACTGTCTGTGTAATCTGCACCCTCTACTTTACAGTTCACCAACATTTCTTCAATCAATATAGTAACAAGTGGTAGGTGTAAGATTCCTGGCATTTTTTTCATGACGAGGTGGCGTAGGCAACTGCAGACAACAAATAAACAACGTAGGTAACGCAAGTTCACATAGTCCAGTTCTTCGTAATCAAATCTGCTCGTTCCTTTGTACGTTGGATGTAATGGTAACTTATAATATTTAGTAACTACTAGGTCGTCCCACATCAACAGTTAATAAATTAGTAAATTGTAAAAATTAAAAATTAAAGTCTCAGTCTAATCTCAAGTCAAAATTTGAAACCCAACAAATAAAAATCGGTCATAATTCTGATAATCTAAATATATAATTGCCACACTTACGGTATTCAACATTGAAAGTAGTATTATTGAAAGCTTATGAATTTAAGCAAATTAGATCAAACGGAAACTCTGACTTTGATAATATTGACTGTGGATATCGGATGTTTAGGTGTGAAGCTCAAATGTATACATACTTAAGTTTATGAAGAGATCCAAGTCCTCTATCTGTCACTAAAGGGCACCCACTGACGTCTAGGTGTTCAAGGGAGTCACTGTAGTGATGCAAACGACCAATGCACCAATCATCTATGAGTGGACAGTTTCGTAATATCAGTGACTTTATAAAACGAAGATCGACTGAAACAGGATAACAAATGGCTCTTCAAATTTAATGCTTCTGCAATGTTTAAAAAAATTCATGTTGGTCAATGGTTTTAACTGCATTTGTCACTGAAATTAAGTGTTACCATAAGTATTAACAAACAATTGAAAGTACATTATAACAGAACAAATAACTGCGAGGAAGATATATTAGCTGTGTTTCTGTACCAAACTCGATGAAAACTAATCTACCGCGATGACTAAAACTGTCCCTGCAAAATTATGTAAATGCAATCCTCATGAAACATGGTTTTAAAAACACGAGGCCTAGAACATTAGTACATCATGTTAATTATGTAACCCCAAAAACATGGCTTAAAAATTACACTCAGTGTATTCAAAATGCGCAACGTGGACATACCAAGATTGTCAAACCCTTCATATCGCAGGCTAGTCGAGGACGCATCCACAGCTTCCACGTGTACCCCTGCTACATATTTGTCAGGAAGAAGGTATTTCCCCTCAGCATCAGCGCGGTGCCATCGCTGCTGTCCCACAAACATTACCGCGCCGCCACGAGCGACAATAAAGTGCGCTGCAGCAAGATCTGGACCGAGTATCTTGTGTCTCTCTGGAAGAAACCTATTGAGACAGGCCATTAGAAGTCTCATGTAAAACGTCTGTATTATCCCGACATGAACACAAACCCAGCCCCCAAGGACCCTCCTGGTGAACATGCAGTCAAGTGCATGGGACCCTTTACATGTTCATCCAATATACACAGGTTCGCTGTACCAGTTGTACGATTAGTAATAGTAGTAATAATTGTACATTATCAGTAGTCAATCCCACTATAATTGTCAATGTTACTAAAATATAGATATTAGATTGTTCAATATTAGATAAATCGCCTATGGTTTTTTTTAAATCTAACATTGGGATTATCTAAGAAGGTATATTAACACACCATTGGTTCACTGTTACAGTTTACATATTGATCAATACAGTGAAATGATTAGAAGGTCAAGGTTATGTAATCAGAAAATTGTCCTACTCCTGATCCTGAAGTTCCTTCTCTTCTCTCTGGAGTTTCTTCCTTCTCTGTAAGCCAGCTAAGGTCCAGTCAACATCTTTCTGAAGGTATGCCATCTGATCCCTAGTGATGCTCACCTAACATGAGTGCCAATTAGCGTATTTACTACACAAATATTTTACTAGGTTTCTATGATGCATTGACTAAAGTAACAGACATTTTTACAGATCTTTTTCGCTGAGGAAAAATGAAGAATTCGTGTTTTAGTGAGTATGCAACACATCTGCCAACTCAAACTCTAAACAACACTCACCTTGTCTGCTACCCATGATAACATTCCCATAGCCTGCACCTGCTGCCTCATGTAATGTTGACGAACTAGTTGTACAGATATAGCAATAGCTCTAGTGCTCTATAAAATAACAATAATAACATCAGCAATGACTACATTTTTACTGGATTCATTCAGATTAATGGACAACCTCTCCTGATTGAACATACAATTCTATTATGAAGTCCATTTTTTTGTTTTTGCACTCCACGCAACTACAAAATGAAAGCTAAACTAAGATTATTATAGCTCTGAGTTTCGTCATGTGTACGTGTGGTATATGTTAGCAGACATGAGTCACAGCTGTTGGTTATAATTGTGTCTGGCGTAGGTCTACATTAGAACCCCAATACATCATCACCACCATCAATAGTTATACTCTTTTACTAGCATTACTATAGATGAGGGCTTAAAATAAAAGATAATTAAAGGAGGTTAAGAGCTCGTTAGCTTGTTAGCTGCGTACGCAAAATCGACGTTGCTTAGTTGCGATTCATCAACACAGCTATTTAGTAAATTTTCATACGATTTCGCGTACGCAAGCGATGGTACCTAAAACGGAGGTGCGATTCATCAAGCTAAAATTTACGTAAACCTTTGCATAACTTTACACGAGCTGACGAGGTGCCGTAAACCACTCGAAATTTCCGCAGGTGTTTCCAGCATACTGCAGCATGCATTATTTTATTGAGAAAACATTATAAAATTACTACTCAACTAAAAATAAATAAATAATTACCATACTACACAGACAGGCGGCGCCTTTGACGCTTCTTTTGTCATAGCCTGGCTTTGTTTTCGTTATAAGCGAGTTCGTAGTTAGCCGTGTACGTGCACACGCACGCACTTGTACGTGCACACGCACGCACGTGTACGTCCACACGCACGTATGCACGCACGTACACACGCACATGTACGTACACACACACGCACGCACGCACGTGTACATGCACACGCACGTATGTGTACGTGCACACACACGCACGTGTACGTGCACACGCACGCACGCATGTGTACGTACACACGCATGCACGCACGTGTACGTGCACACACACGCATGCACGTGTACGTGCACACACATGCACGTGCCCACACACGCACGCACGCACGCACGCACGCGTGCATACACACGCACGCGTACATACACACGCATGTACACGTACACACGCACGCACGTGTACGTGCACACACACGCACGTGTACAGGCACACACATGCACGTGTACGTGCACACACTCACACGCACACGTGCACATGCACGCACGCACGTGTACGTTCACACGCGCACACGTGCACGGTGAACGTGCACACACACGCACGCACACGTGCACGGTGCACATGCACGCACGCACGCACGCACGCACACGTACACACGCACGCACGTGTACGTGCACACGCACGCACTCACACACGCACGTGTACGTACACACGCACGCACGCATGTGTACGTGTCGCTACTTTCATCGAGTGTTGAACGCAATCATACAAACGAAAATGAGGACAACTATCACATCCCCCAGCACTCCTGTAGACAGAGCTAGAGCCATATGGTTTACATACAAGAGAGGCGTCAGTTTGGTTCCTATGGTATGTGTCGCACAGTGTGATTGGTTTATGCTAGGCACGCCCCTCAACACGACAACAGCCAGCAGCTACGATGGCGTAGTGGATTTACACTGGAATTCATCAACATTTGCGTACGCAGGTGCTACCGCTGCGTTGATGAATCGCACTTACGAGCTTTGCGTACATACTTCGTAGAAACTCTGTGTACGCAATACACTTTAAGCAACGTTGATGAATCCGGCCCCTGATAATGCAAAGCAAGTGTTTTGGGATGTAGGCCGCGTGCGCGTGCGGACGCTTTCTTACCTTCTCTAACCTACTGTGTATTTGTGCATGCACAATGGCGTGCGCGCTATGCGTTGCAGCGGTGTATTGGACGGTATTGAAGTGAAGTTATTACTATATTAGGTCAAATCAAACATTAAGACTATTAGTATTACTGCAATACTGGTACTGGTACTGGTAGTGGTAGGTCTAGTACTGACAAGTTGTATTTATTAACCATCATTTTATTATTGAAACGGCCCAAGTGCCTGTGACTTGGTGACACAGTGTTGACACAGTCCCCCCCCCCGTGACAACAGTTGTTGACACACTCACAGTGTGAGCTTGTGGGCTGTAGCCTGTGCCTGTGGCTGTGGCAGTCACTCTGTGGTCAGGGCACTGAAATTAACTAATGGTGTTGTTTAGCTAGTAGTGTCACAGTGTTCTGATCCTTGGTGGGGCTAAGACAATGTAAGACATAGAAGAGAAAATAATACAAACACTGACAACAACGACTAAATAAGAATATGATAACCTTCCTCATAGGCGCAGCCATCTTGCATGTTCTCTTGGTTAGATTGCGCGGAGAAATGTGCAGCATATGCGCCACGAGATGGCGGTCTAAGGCATGAGTAGTGTGGTATCATTTGGCTTCGTTTTGCATCTGGTATCATTTGGCATCTAGAGCAGGGGTTCTTAACCTGTGGTACATACGGACCCCTTTGGGTGCATGGATGGGCTTCAGGGGGTCCGTGAACCAGGCGCATAAACATTTTGTGTTTATGTGCATTTTTCTGGAGAGTGGTCCGCGTATAGCTTTCACCAGATTCTCAAAGAGGTCCATTAATTTACTCAAAAACGATTAAGAACCACTGAATCACTGATCTAGCGTATATATTTAGAGACAAAATACCAGTCTACTGCTTCTCTAGGACTATCGGTGTAGTCCCTTCGCTGTAGCGGGAGCGAATGGACCACACCGGTATAGCAGAGCTGCTGCTAACTTTGCGGTTGGTAGGTGTGATCGTCTTCGGCGTCACCGCGCGCGTATGTCATGTAGGTGCATGTTACGTAGGTGTCATGTAGGCGCATGTAGGCGCCATGTAGGTCATGTGCGTGCTTGGCTGTGTGCGTGTGTGCACAGATCACTCGCGTACACCTTTTTTTATACTTCTCCCTCTCACTCTCCCTCTTCATCTTCCTCTTCCCTTTCTTTCCCTCTTCCTCTTACTATCCCTCCTCTTCTTCCTTTCCCTCTCCCTCTCCCTCTCTGCCTGCCTCTCCCTGTCCCCTACCCTTCTAGCTTCCCTTCCTCTCCCTCGTACCCAAATTCTCTCCCCCTCTCTCATTCTTAAATTTTGCTCCCTCCCCATTGTCTCCCTCATGCATCATCCCCCTGTTTATCGCTATTTCTGAATCGCTCATTCTTCACCAGTTCCTTTTCCTCTTCTTCCCCCATTCAGCTGCTATTTCTCTCGAACATTGTGGCAATTTCAGTTGAGCCTGTTTTGTAACTTCCTGCGCTGCAACATTACAAACTGTGATGTTTTAGACGCCATGGTAATGTTAGACGCCATTGTGACATGAGTTATGTAAGACAGCCATCAATAATAATAATTTGGTTTTCGTGACGTGGTTATGATTATTAAACAATTTACTTTATTATTGCAGGAATAAAAGGCTATGGTTCACGAACAGTTTAATCAGAAATTTAAATCACTGCACGCTTAACATCTACCTACATGCGCCAATATGAAGCATTCGTCAAACTATATGTTGCGCTGCCGCATATGATTATTATTTTAAACAAAGAATTAAACTGCTACTCGAGTGGTTCTTATGTTTGATTTGTTTTATTGCAATAGTGCTCTGTAGGTAACATACACTGCATAATATCAAGAGTACCATAATACTCTAGATAACATACATCTGATATTATGTGCGTTGTGATATAATGGACGCGTTTACCATTTGGATTACGTAGTGAAGATCGCATCGTTATTATGTTCTCCTGATACCACCATGGCGCATATACATATTGACAGAAGTTAATAAAAACACTTGTTGTTTTGGTTCACTCCAGATTTTAGTATTACGTAGGAAATATTTATCTAATGACATGCATGGTGGGATAGTTTGTGTTGGCTAGTAACGCTAATATTTGCAACCAGTGCTTCTATTGGATGTCATATTGAATAATTTGGCAGCGTGCGGGGGCCAAATACTTGGGAAAACTCTGTCACCACAAAAAACATCGTATTTTCACGGAAACCAGACAAAGACCTCCTCATAGGTTTGTAATTTGGCGAATGTTGGAATGCATTAGAATTGCAATAGGCAAGCGGAATGGTCCATGCAACAATGTAAACAATGAATAAAAATATCTTAGTATCTACTCTCGATGTGTCTTGATCCATATCTGAGGATGGTGTGAAGTCTATGATGCTTTTGCCGAAGTTGCATTTGTTTTGATGACTGGTCGTCATTTAAACGCTAGCTCTGGGTATCGTTCTTTTATAATTTTTAGATAATTACTTGGCAAATATTCACATAGGATCATTTCTAGCCATTATTAATTTTTTGTGCTATGGCGTGTCACCAAAACGATGCCAGAATCATCAAAATGCATTATGACATATTGTTGGCCCCATCTCCCAAGCTATTGTCATGATGAACGATGAAACCTTATTTGCACAGTTCTGCATGCACCCCCCCCCCACACACACACACACGCTTGTAGATATTTTATTTGCTTTTGTTATTCCAATCATTTCGATAGCGTCACTGAATATAATATATTTCAGGGCCATTTTCCAGCAGCGTTCACTCGATACGATTTGCATAACTATGTACCTTTGGTTAACGACTTAACATTTAATGAGGCCACGTGCGTACGTTGCTCCGCTTGTTATTAGTTAAATGTAATCATGTTGTTGTTGATACGTACACATGTCAGGTAGCGGGGATAGGCGATGTTGATACGAAGAAAGATAATAAAGAATAAATCAAGCAGACATGTGTGAAATCTTCAACGTTTCTATGGGGTGCGGCCATTTCCTTATATATATATATATACATGTATATATATTATATATATATATACTTATATATAGCGGGTATTTAGGGGGTCACCGGTCTGTATACCAAATGATCCGCAATGTAATATTTGCGTTGCATTTATATACAATTGCCAGAAACCCGATTTCTTTGCTTAATTAATAATACATTTAGTATTGAATGAACCAAAAATTGTAATGTTAGATAATTTTTATTGATTTTATTTTAAAAACATCGAGTAGTAAAAAAGTATTGAAAGTAAGTATTAAGATGACAGATAAGTAAAACACGATTACTAATAGTAGAAGAGGGATAAAGGCCAGGCGAATGGCTATAATGAGAAAATTGAATCACATCTTTCCGACATGTAAAAATAGAATAACTTAGTGCATTTAATGTAATTATACTATATATTGAAAACAGGAGTCAAGTTGGCTGAATCACGTATGAGGGCATTTCCACATTAATCATTCGGTCAACTGAAACATATGGCTAGTTTTATGATTGTTTAATTAATAATCTGATAGACCCATAAACTGACTACACCGGAACACCTTCTACTCACTGAGCACTGCCTTGATGAGCAAACACAGCACGAACTGGAACAAGCTGTTGTTTTAATATCAGTGAATGACATTGCGTAGGAATGCTTGATACAACGTAAACTTCTTAGCAACCAACTTTGATATATGGTTTGCGTCTGCTACCAAGCGTCTGCTACTTTAAATGCAATGTATTTTTTCAATATTTTTTTTTCCAATCCAGTAACTGTAGTTGCCTTCGTGTAGTGCCTTGTACGTGCCGTGCTGGAAACGCGCATAGTCGCTAATGACGCGTTCCGCCATGCGAATCCGAATTTACATGTTGCGCCACACGACGCCCACTGCGCGTCCACGGGGACCATATGGCGGCAGTCGCCATCGCGCCATCATCTCATGGCTCTTGTTCTCATTTAGCTTATCGATTTTTAGTTAGATCTCTGGCAGGTTCTCTAAGCTTCACCGCCGCATACGTCACGTTCCACACTCCGTGAACGATTTCGGCGATTCATCAAATAATGGCGGCGCAGGTGAAGCGGTTATACCTACGGCTAAAAATATCTACCCGGCAATTTGCAAAAATCGGAAGCAGGTCGTTAGTTTGACCGATGATCAAAAGGAAACAGCGGGACGTTGTACTTAACGTGTTGCGGCATGTTATATACCTCGATATGACAATATTCTGTAATCGGGCTCCTCGCAGGCATGCGCGCGCGCGTGTTTTCCTCATTGACAAGCTCGTTGGATCAAATAGCCGCACATTCTTTATGCGCTCGTGTACGCTGGAGACCGACTTCATCTGATGCCACTGAACAATAAAGCAGCCACTGCTTCCCTTTACGTCACTGCGTCCATATCCTTTGATAACTGCATGACCAAAAGGAGCTAAAATCAATACCGACTCCGTCACCATGACGTCAGGTTGACGTCAGTCGTGCGTATTCGCGCATGTGAACTGATATAGGCTTGCGCGGCTAATGGTGGAGCCTCCGCTTCAATGACTCGATGAAAACTGCCCGTGCACGAGCGTAGGTGGAGTAGACTCAGAGTCGAAGGCAGTAGGAGCAGACCGCAGTACGACGACCAGCTCAGACGACGCCACACTACACCGACGAGACATGGAGAAAATCCTCGCTGCGATATGCGTCATTGCCGTATTGGGTTTGAGCTATGGCCTGCCGTACGACTACAGGGTGGACAGCCAGCCACCGGTGAAACTGCTCGATTATCTCAGAGAAATCGGGGCCAGCAACAACGATGACTACGACAGAGACGAGGATTGGTGGTACCAGGCGCCGTACGAGGAGGCGAAACTCGCGGAGGACTCGGACTATTATTACCCGATAAAACAGGAAATCGGCGACTACTACGATGCTGAGCCCGTTGAAGACAACTTCGAAGATTTCTTGATAGAATTAGAAAACATGCTGAACATGAAGAACGGGCCGAGGTATAGCACGGTTGACGCAGATAGAGAGGCAGAGTATGACGAGGAGGAGGAGAAGGAAGAAGAAGAGAAGGAGGAAGAAGGGGAGGAACGGGACCAGACTATGATGGACGAAACCGTTCAGGACACGACAGCAGACAACACTCAGTCAGTCGCGGCCGCCGCCTCTGACGACCTCAGTAACGAACTAAGTTCCGTCGGCCAAACGAGTGCGCCGTCAGAGCCGCTTGCCGACAATACGGAAACGCAACAGACGCCGCAGGAAATACGCGACGAGATGGACCGGAAGCGGGGCCAACCGGAGACGGTAAGCGTCGACGGCAAGATTGGCGTCGACGTATCAGAGGTACAATACGACAAGAAGGAGGAGAACCAGCTGGAAGAGCTAAAGGGGAATCTATATAACAGCCAGAAAATCGCGAAGAAGGCTGCACATCCACGACCATTCCCACGAGATCACTAGTCGCAACCCACATCATCGCAAACACACGAGGTTTAAAAATAAGGTAAGCGTGAAACCTGCTGAGTCACAATAGCTAGATTTTTGCTTATCGTTAAATTATATCGTTAAGACCATCGATCTAATTTAGTGACGTCATCTAATTTTCAATGTCATATGCGAAGGAAATTGGCATGTCATATTTGCAGGTAATGTTATGGTTTTTGTTTCGATCGTTCACCGCGTCGTAATCTTTTCCCGCCATGCGTGATGTTGTTGTTGTTATGTACCTACGCGTGCTCGTCGTGTTTGTGCCTGCTGGAGCTTCCTGAATACTCCCTGAAAACTCGCGAACAGCGGGGGGGGGGCGCATTACATAACGTCATTACATACGTAACAACATTACAATACGCATTCATATCACAGCGTACACCGTCACGATGTAAATATTTAACTTCATCTCCCCCCAAACACAGCCCAAGCAAAAGACATTATTTTATCGATCTTGATCAGAACAATAATGCATGAGTCCAGCTGGTGCGTTAAACCGGTGTGTGTGTGTGTGTGTGTGTGGTGTTGTGCGCATGCGTGTGTGTGTGTGTGTGTGTGTGTGTGTGTGTGTGTGTGTGTGTGTGTGTGTGTGTGTGTGTGTGTGTGTGTGTGTGTGTGTGTGTGTGTGTGATCGATAATATTAACAATTAGTAAGCGACATAATATTTATTTCAGTTTCGCAAACATGCACGCCACAATTAAATTTGCAGCTGAAGGCGCCATTTTTTTCTATTCTTGATAATTTAGCTCGAATTTCATTATCATCTCGAATTTCATTATCAGCGTGAAAATATCTTTACCGCCTCACCGTCATATGAACGTTGAGTAAAGCTTTAATATTTTGTAAAATAAAATATATACGAATAAAAAAGTGCCCTTATCTATAACCTTTAATGCAGAACAAAGGCATGATCGTATTTGTGAATGTATTTCGCATACACGAACCGCTGTATGTCTAACAGTGATATTATAACCTCATACAGTACAGGTTGTAAGAATCTGACTGTCGCGAAAATTTACACAGCTCCTCAATTTATATTCCTTCCGCGTAGGGTTAAAGCTGCTGCCGAGCACAATAGACAATAAAAAACCGTAGTCTTATTAGCACTAATATGGCCGCGTAAATTAATAGCGTCTCGTAAAATATTTTTATAATGAATGCACTGCGTAATAAGCGTAATGAGCGCACTTCATAATAATGAATGCGCACGTATGTTGCATGTCTGTCTAACGTCAAAGATAATGCAGATATATACATTTAAGCTCTATATATACACACACGCTACACATGCACGCACGCACGCACGCAGGCACACACACACACACACACACACACACACACACACACACACACACACAGACGCATACACACACGCCCCCACATACACACAAACACACACAAACAGACAGACACACAAGCAGAGAAAGAGTGAGAGGAGTAAAAGAAAGAGAGCAAAAGAGCGAGGGAGGGAAGGGGAGAGGAACGCACACGCACACGCATACACTCACGCACGTACGCGCGCACAGACACACGCCAACACACAAGCCAGCACACACTCACTCGCATTATAAATACATGTAGTTACTTATTTATGTTCCTCGAGGGGCTTAAGATCGAGTGATGGGAACGAGGGCGCGCGATGGAGAGTGCTCTTCTCTTCGCTAGCACATCACGCGTTCAACAGGGCTGCCGACTTCGAGCTAGGCTAGGTCGATAGCAGAGAGAATGGCCGCGGCCACGCATGCATCTGTTGTCCGCCTGCGACCCTCTGACATTTCTGCGCGCGCTGGTGGGCGGGGGCGTTACACGGAGAGAGCGCTCGGCTACCCCGCTAATCGTTAACTAAATCGTTAGCAGTAGCAGATCGATCGGAGAGTTTACACGCCCACGCAGACGCGCGCGCGCGGGAGGCGTTCGTGGGAGGAGGGGACGGGGGTGCTTCGTGATGATGAGTGTGTATGCGCATGGATGTACCACTCTGGGACTAGCACCGCGCCACTCGGCGGCGAAACCAAGAGAGAAAATGGGAACAAAATTAATGTGTAATTCGTGCAATCATTTCTAATCATTCTCTCCTCCGTAAAATCGGCTCTCCGAGCGCGTGCTCGCTTGCGCACATACGGTCAAAATTAATTTTCGTCGTCAGCTGTCAAAGCCGGCTGCAGTGCAATCAGTGAGAGAGAAATCCCCCTCCCCTCTCCTCCAACACATTTATCACGAGGAAATGGCGGGCGGCGAAGACGGTGCTGCGCGCGGTCGGTAGCACTCGTAAAGCAGTCATTAGGCGGCAATCAGCGTGGCCGTGTTCACACTCCCGCCTGCACACACAGCCCCCGCGTGTAAGCTGCGACATACGCTTGCTCATCTCGGCTTTATACAGGTCATAAAAGCGCGCCAATATTGCGGCGTGTGTCGCTGCTCAGATAAGCTCGTGAGAGCCGTACGGTGAATTTACGTCCTGCCATTAGCACAGTCTAGAGTTCTCACGCCGCGCTCGGAGTGGCTCGTCATCCCGGCCGCGTTACTGCCGCGCTGGAAGCATAAGGAAGGAACTAAGTTTCCTCTTGGGCTTCCTCTTTGGCAGGAAACCAAAAAAAGATTACAGGGCCCGCTATAGACGCACCGGTAGATGTGATGCTGCACGGCTTGCGAGAAGCTCCGTCATGCGTGATGCGGGTGGAAGTATAGGCTGTCACGGCTGTTGCTATGGCCGCCTGACATTTCTGCAGCGTTTCTCGCGGGCGTTGGCCAGCGAAGTTTTGCCAGCTCGCGCATGCGCCGCCGCGCTGCTATGATCGTTAGTCAAACCCAAGCAGCGCCGATCGATGCGAAAAGATGCGCCTACAATGTACGCCTACGCGTACGCCTACGCATACGCCTATACGCATATATGCATACGCCCGTGCATACGCCTGCATGCGCATACGCCTTCGCACACGCCTATGCATACGCTTATGCTTACACCTATGCGCATACGCCCACGCACGGCACTGGCGTGGCACAGTGAAAATAAAGCCGAGTCTGTCATTCGGCTATCACCCGTAATTTACGAACGCTTTATTCTCTTTCGTTATAGGAAATTCGGGGAAAATGGCTTCCTCTCTCCGGCTGGACACGGCACGGCGAAGCAAATGGCAAGTAATGGGCGAAATCCGTCTTGCGCATCGTCAGTGCGTCTGACTGCAACGCCACCTACACAGTCAGAAGACCGGCCACGCATATTGCACAGACACAACTAATCGATCTCTAATGGCTTTCGTGCGAGAAGAAATGTTCGCGCGCGAGTTAGCGGCGAAACGCTTGCTGAAGTAAATCATGAAAATGTAGTAATAGCAGCAGTAGGATCAAAGCGTGTGCTTTGTTAATATTGTTACAGCCGTGTGGGGGAAATGCGTTTTAGTGTATTTCACGCATTTGGTAAAATCGCGGCCGGAGCTCTATCGTATTACTAATATTATATTACGAAGTCCCGGCTCCTACCGGCCGCTAATCTTATTCTCGCATGTATAGTAGGCTCATGTTCATTTGACAATATTGTCGTCTATCCACGTTCAGGATTTCGTTGATTTCCTGCTTTCACTCAGCTTCTATTTTACGTATGTTATGTATGATAATTAGCTTTCTCGCAGGCTGAAACAGTCAGCAATTAACTACAATTATGATGATTAATTCTCTATTAGCCGTTATAAATCATGATGATTATGCATCATTATTAATGAAGTCATGTTTTACATCACTTTGACCATTAGCAATTAATCTATAATTACAAATATAAACGAAGAGAGTGAGATTACCGTATGCTATTGCGTAAGCTGCCTTGAACGCTACGAATGTGAATTACTGGTTTCGAAAAACCTCCCACAAAAATTTGGTCTTCCTTTAGCAATAGAATTAGAGTTTAAAGATGCGAAAATTCAATTTTATGAAGCTGTAAATAAAGATACGTAACGCTCAGCTATAGTCTAGTTACATCCACTGAAGCCTGCGCGCCTTCAACCATGCAACGTGTTCTGTGTAAAAAAACATTCGCTATTCGGCATACGACTTTCAGTTGAGACATCGCTGTACGACGCACACGGGTTCTGTGCATGTAGAACACGCTTATAAATGTTTATGTGTGTAATATAGCGATAATTCCTGACTTGAAATCCGTACATCGAATGCAACTCGGTTTCTTACAGATTATATGAGTTCACGAGTAGTGAGGCAGGGCTGTAATATTACCTACATATTATATAGAGTTATATATGAAACGATCTCAAAGATGGCGGCTGCTAAACGGCTCAAGATAGCGTACACTTTCTAGTGGTGATCATGGCTTCATTTCTATTAGATAATGTTTGGCACCAACGCTATAATGATTTTACGTTGGCTTAAATTCTATAGACGCGTTTCGTTTATGCATCGTGCATTTGATCAGGTTTCTCCTAAACGTATTTTAACCCTTAATTGTGGCGAAACTATGTTATGACTGCACTTAAGGTAACCTATATATAAATTCACTGTACATTGTTTATTTCTACCCCACACCGTACGTGGCTCATAGACTAAGAATTTTAGAACGTCCCGAAGCGAAATGCAGTCGGCAACAACGAAATAATAGTTAGGCGTCAGAGACGTCGACGCTCTAAATTCTGCTTCTGCTTCGGCTTTTAGCTAGTAGTGTGCAACGGTAGCACGTGATCTGAAACAGCTGAGCATCTTCGCTTTGCTCGGGCGCGTATTGTGTACTTCTGTACAATAGGTACAAGAATTACGAGTAGGAGGGCGATTATGCACGATTCGTGTGCCCAATGCTACGGCTATCCCCGTTGCAGTGCTAGAGGCACATTATATCAACCTTGCGATACGGATTCGACTTATTAGATATAATTTCGCGTAACTATCTAACTCAGGTGGATGGCATATATGTATATAACGCAAAGCGACGAGAAACACTGATTTGTTTGTTACAGCTTTACTTCATGTGTCCGAGGGATTATTGTCAGAAAATGACATATCGCTAGATAAAATTTAATGCATGTCAGCATATTTTAGTTCAAGCTCTATCCCTACGGACCAAGTAGCGCACGTTGTTCCAATGTATTTCAGTTGGAATTAAACAAGCTGCATGTACGTCGCGGGCTTTCAACTGATATGACAGCCGATTGAAAAAGTATTTTTGTGAAAAGAGGTCAGCAAGTGAGACGTCATGATTATTTATTCTGTAAAATATTAACATTTCTGTAAATACCGCTGTGTTGTTCGATTCATTGCAAACTGCAGTTGTCGGTGAAGTCCAGTTGTGAGGGGCGATAACGGGGCGAGTGACATTGCGTGATATTACCTTGCTGTATAAATGGAAATGCTTTCTATATGTATATTTTGATGTCTAATGATATTGAATACACATGTTGTTTAATTTTCATAATGCCTTCGTTCCTGCTTCGTGCTGCTAATTTACCCAGCAGAAAATCCAATCGTCGAATGGTGAAAATAATATAAGCCCTACTAATTGAATACAGAAAAATGAAAATGTAAACAAATGAAAGTAAACGTAACAAGAAATGTATATAATAAAGCAGAATAAGCGTGGTAAACAAAAACCTGAAAACAATTAGGCCCATAGAACTGCGATTATTTTCAGTAAGCTACGAAAACACGGTCTAATACACGAAAAGCCTTTGTACAAGCTTGTTAAAAAGGCACAATATCACAATTTCTCTAAGCGTAGTACCTAAGTGAGCCACAATACGAGAATTTGATTGGTGTAAATTATTAGGTACATTTAATTTGCATAATAATAGTTTTAATAAAAGACGGAGAATTTACTAGACTTTTCACTACTTTCAACTTCTACTAAGCTACCCAGACATGGAACTCTATATAGAATAAAAGTATTTATCAAGAATATTTGTATAGGCATCCCACAAAGATTTATTGATTCCTTCATTACATAATAATAATTTTCTAGAAATGTAAACTTACTGAATAAGTGCTTGAAGCGAACGATATATATATATATATATATATATATATATATATGTTTATATATACATACATACGTCCGGACGGACGGACGGACGGACGGACCGACCGACCGATCGAATGACTGACCGACAGACGGACAGACAGACAGATAGATAGATAGATAGCAGCAAATTTCCACGAAAATGTCATATATCCCTAATTGGTTTCCACCAGCAGAGCTTAACGAATAACGTCTATGCCTACTGTCCACCATTATGAAATGCGAAAAAATCCAATAAGTGCGAGGTATTACAGAATTAATGCGTAATATATCAGACAATTTCGGGAAGTACGTGCCAATATGTGACACGTGCTCTTTTTCAGCGTATGACGCCACTTTCGTTATTGAAATGCTGGTAAACCACTATTATAGGAGTGTCCATAATCAGTAAGATTTACGCGCTGCCATTTTCAAATGCAAAATAACGATTTTTAAATAGCACGAAGTAATAACACATATAAATACATTTATGGCCGTGCAGCGTTCTATTCAATAATAATAGTAACTAGAGCACTCAGAGAGCGCAGACCTCCGCCAAGGCAGCTCAATTCTCTCACTGTGAAATATTTAATTAATTGATTAATTAATTAAATAATTAATTGGATCCGGATCACCACCAAAATGTCATCAATTCTAAGTTACCACATTTCTGACCTATCCTGAAAATTTAATTAATTAATTAATTAATTAATTAATTAATTGGATCCGGATTACCACCAAAATGTAATCAATTCAAAGTTACCCCATTTCTGACCTATCCTGAAAATTTAATTCATTGGATCCGGATCACCACCAAAGTCTAATCAATTCTAAGTTAGCCCATTTCTGATGAAATTTCTGACCTATCCTGAAAATTTTATGACAATCCGTTCATAACTTTTTCAGTTAGGCTGTACACAAACAAACAAACGCACAAACCCACAAACCAACAAACACACGCCGGTGAAAACATAACCTCCTGCCAACCCCTTGGCGGAGGTAATAAACTGCTATTAAAATGAAGCGATACCTAATATAAAGAGAAAAGGGGAAATATTTAATATTGCAATGCGCGCGCTAAGAAATGTAGGCGAATGCATTTATAACAAATATTATATTGTCAATGATCCATACGATTTCCATACCATTTAATTGACCTGGCATTGACCTTGGTTTTAGCATTGGACATCACGAGATCATTATTCACCGTTTGCCACACATACACACACACTCTCTCACACACACACACACACACACACACACACACACACACACACACACACACACACACACACACACACACACACACACACACACACACACACACACACA